CTCTGAGGCGCTGCACGAAGCCCGCCAGGGCAGGGGCTGTAGCCGGGAGCAGGGCGGCCCGTCGCTGGAAGAAGTGCTGGGGGCCGCGGGGGTGCTCCGTGAGAGTCTGCTTCCCGGTAGGTCCCTGCTCCGTCACCGCACGCGTGGTTCTTGCTGCGAGCGGGGCGGCTGCGTTTACCGGGAGTTTACGGTTGTGTCGATCGCTGGGCATGGTTCATCTGAGTGCTGTGGGCTTGTGTTCTGAGCAAGGATCGCAGCAGTGTGAATGCGCTTTCCCTTGTAATTAGGGAAACAGGCCCGTTAAAACGACAGTTGTGAAAGCACTTGGAGGAATTGGGCTACAGGCTGCTCAGCTCACCTGTGTGAAACGCGACCGCTGAGAACAGTGTGTGTGTGTTGTGTGTGTGTTGTGTGTGTTCTCATGGCAGGGAATTGAATAATAAACGCTTTTCCTGCAGCCACTGAACTCGGTGATTTGTCTTTTGACAGGGGCCTTGGCACAATATGCTAGCTGCTTGGAACTGGTGAACAGAAGACTGCCTTGTGGCCTTGCTCTAACTGGAGTGTGCTTTCACTCTGTTCCAGAGAGCGAACAACACAACGAAAACCTTGTGAGGTACAGTATGGAAGGGATTAATCCTTTTCCAGCCTTAAACCAACTGTTTCACTTGTTTCACCCTTGAATTATTTTTGAATACTGTTTCTTGCTTTTTCTCCTGTTATTTTTGAAGGAGTTAACTTGCTGACCTTGCTATTGTTTAAAGAATAGGCGAAAGGACCACGTCTTTGCTTGCATGGTTTAGTTCTCCCAGAACTGCAGGACAGTGGCTGGATTACTGGTTACGCCAGAGGCTTCAATGGTGGAGAAAGGTAACAGCACTGGGGGGGAATCTTGGTTGCCTCCTCCCTGTCTCAGAGGGAGAATAAATGCCCTGATCAGTTTTATGGTGTTAGATTGCCCTAGCCTGGTTTTGTCTCTGAAGTACATGTATTTCCTGTGAGAAACTGAAAAACTACTTAAGTTTATGACAAACCTGTGTAGTTTATAACGTGACTTGCAGAAGGGCAAATGTTTTGTGTTTGTAAGTGATTTGAGATCCAGATGCTGGAAAACAGCAAAGAGATTTGGGCTGTAACTTATGAAAATTGCTTGCTAAAAATTGCAGGCTTCAGCTTTCATTACAGACTGTTTTTGTTGTGGTTTATACAGCCTGTGCAGCAGTGGTCACCTCTTCTGTCTTTTCAGTTTGCAGTAGCCCCATCTAACTTCAGCAGCAGTGACTTTCAGGATGAAGAAGGAAGAAAAGGGTTTAATTTACATTACAGTTTTCCTTGGGGGACAGAAACAATAGAAACATTGAAGAACCTTGGAGATACTGAACTGTTACAGATGTATCCAGGAGATAGTTCAAAATTACTTGTAAGCTTTAATCTATTAAAAATCTTTTCTGATAAAGATGACATTGTGTGAGAGAAATGGTTTCTTTGCCGGTCCAGTTGTAACAGATACTCTGCAGTCAGACCTGCACTTTCAAAAGCAGATAAAATAGTGGTTTGGGGGTTATTTTGCAAGGAGTTAATTCATTGCAATTAGAAATGAGCTGTATTGACAGGACACTGTTGACAACTGATTGTCCTTTATCTGTGAGTAGATGTCAAGACTAAGTCAGCGTTAAATTTGCATCAAAAAGAACCTGTAAATGTGTTTTCTTTCTGTAGCTTCCATATATGTAGAAATATGTGAATTAGTGGATTATAAACACTGCAAATGGCTTTCCAGAAGTTACTGCACTCAGAAGGGGGAATGGACCAGGGGGAAACCTTTCCATTGAATTGGAGAGGACAAACTTCTAGTGAATGGCAGTGTTTGAAAAGCCAGGCTGAGCAGCTGGAACAAGAGTAACTTGGTATTTTACCAGTAAAATGCAGCCTTCCTCCGGTGACAGTACTGCCTGTCTCTCCTGGTTTTGCAGTCTTATTTCCATGCAGAAATGGTTACATAGGGATTTCTTAATGTGGGGACACATCCCTGTGGTCACTTGGAAGAAATCCTCAAACTTCCAAAAGAAAATGCAGAGTTTCAAGTGTATTTGTCATAGATTTAAATTGACAATCAAGAGTGGCAGGACAAGGACATAATCCCATCCTGCTCCATCTCCTGCTTCCCCCAGTGTTACAATCTTACCTGGTTGCTGGTAACCTTTTAAAATCTGTGTCTGGATGTATTCTACATGTAGCAGAGGTGCTCAAGCTCAGTGCCTCTTTACATGGTTAAACTAAGCAGAAGGTGTTTTGAGACTGTCTTTGAGGTATCGCTTTGTGGGTTTTTTTCTCTTCAGGGCCGAGACGGAAGGAAGAATGTTATTCCCCATGTCCTGTCTGTGAGTGGAAATCTGGACCGAGGAGTGTTAGCCTATCTCTTTGATTCCCTTCAGCTAGCTGAGAATCCTTTAACAAAAAAGAAAATTGTGCAGAGAAAGGTAACTTCCTGTAGAAAGTGTAAGGGAAGTTTAAGTACAAACCCCACAGGCAGAATATCTCCCTTTTCCACATCACATCTTCTCTTCCCAAACGGGCACAATCAGAACACTTCTGGTAGCAATAGGCTGACCCATGGGACTGCCTCTGCCGTCCTTCTCACCCATAATAGCAACTTCTCTCTCATTCTGAGGTCACCTTTCCTGTTTCACCTCCTTTTCCTCTGATGGGTAGATAGGCCCTTCTCACGCATGCGATGGTGTTCAGAGGAATTGGAATGCTGCTGCTGCTGTGGTCAGAAGAAGGAGTTTCTCTCTTGTAGCAGCATTTGAAGGTTGCTGAGAAGAGCAGAAGTGGGTGGCAGGTGGTAGTGGGGTGTTCCCATGAGGATCATCATTTTTCCTACTTTTACTCTGGTTTTCTGGCTTTCAGACAATCAGATCTGTTAGGCTGGATGGTAACTGTCTGCTGGGCTGTCTGATCACTCTGGCTCCATTAAAGGTGACACAGTTTAGTGTGTGGTGTCCCTGCTCATGGCAGGGGGGTTGGAACTAGATGATCTTAAGGTCCTTTCCAACCCTAACTATTCTATGATTCTATGATGGAGTTCTGCTGACAGAACTTCATGTCTTTTCTGTGCCTCAGCCAAAATGGAGTAATTTCTGCCATGCTCTCATAGCTGGCCTGTGTGCTGCTTTAAATAAAATACAGCATGTGTCTAATGAGGATTTTGTGCTGTGAGAAAATTCAGGCATGTTTAGAACCTTAATTTCAGTGAAAAAATAGTACTATTTCCTAGTTCTGTTTAGAAGGTCACACTAAACACATTTAGTAATCTGTTGCTTTTTGTAAAATTATTAGGTACTTAAGCTTCACCCTTGTTTAGCACCTCTTAAAGTGGCCTTGGATGTAGGAAAAGGTCCAACAACAGAGCTGAGACAGGTATGTTGTAAGAAAGTATTTTAATTTTGAGCACTGACTCTCCATGTGGCTTTCTGTTACAATCCAGACACTGTTTACACTGGGGAAAATCATGCTGCTGCTTTGGTTCATGTTGATTCGTGGTTGTACAGGTTTCACAGCACAGGTTCTGAGTTGTAGCCAAAGGAGTAGTGTAGACAGTGGGTAGCAGATGCCTTCCTTACATTAACACGCTGCTTTTACTACTGTTAGAGAGTTGATACTTGTTCCATGCAAAATTAAGGAAAATAAATAACACAATCCCTCTCAGCTTCCTGATCTTTCAGGATTATCTTAACATGTGGGTCACATCTTCAGAAGGATTATTTAAGTCTTTATTACAGTCAGACATTAAACTGGTCCCCACAGAAGGGAGGGAACTTCCACTGGCATGTTTTTACATAGAAACAGACATTTATTTGCAAGGCTGCTTTCTAATTTTGAGATTATTTCAGACAGAGAATTAACACCCGCTGGGAATGCCAATACCTCACATAGTAGAGCTTTGATAGTGTCTTTGTTTAGGGTTTCAAGCCCTTACAGTTTATGTTTTAACTCTTGTTTTTCAATAAACACAGGTTTGTCAAGGATTGTTCAATGAACTGACAGCAAATAGAATTTCTGTGTGGCCGGGTTACCTTGAAACCGTGCAGGTATCTCTGGAACAGCTTTATACAAAGTAAGGAGAAACAGTCTTTTGTAAATTAAACTATGAAGGTGAAAGATGACATTCTGTGGACTAGAGAAAATAAGCCTGTTTTCAGTAAGAAGTCATCGAGTGCAGTTAACCACATGGCTGAAGGCATGTATCTAAACTATGAATTTGGAATCAAGGAGTTCTATTACAGAGAACAATGTCAGCTCATTTTTAAAACTAAGTATAGGCATTTCACATGTTATTGTCATTTCTCTGGAACTGTGAAATGCCCTTTAGAGACTCTCCTGTTGAAAATAAACTTCTTGAGATGAGTCATAAGCTCACAGAACTGTTTCCCACCCTCACCCCCCACTTTTGCATCTGGATTGGTTCTGTGTTTCACTCTGAAGTACTGTTTCAAATAGTGCCCTGTTTCTAGTCTTGAGCTGAAAAGTTCTTCCAAGTCTGGAGCCATTAGGAATTATTTGTGGAGATAAGTCTGCTATTCCATTTCAGGGCATCATATGAGAGTTGTTGATCAGGAGTGAACTTTGAGCATATTGATGAATGTTTTTTCCTGAGCGAAAATAAATACAACTCTTTGCTCATGTGCAGTAGCCTTCAAAGTAAGTCAGAAAGATACATTCTGCTTTTACAAAAATACTCTTGTAATAGGTCACTAAATAACATTCTTTTTATGTACTAAAGTAAATAATTTAAAGAACTGTAGTCAGGAAAGCAAGGAAGGGCAACAGGAGACTGGTGTCTTCATCCTGGACTTAGTGCACTATTGCAGAAACAAATATTTACAGATGGTGGTCATTTGTACATAACCTAGCTGAATCTTTCATACACCAGAAGCAGTAACGGGAGTGCTCTTTTCTCTGCAGGTATGACGAGATGAGTGTTCTCTTCATGATCTTGATAACTGATGCCACTCTAGAGAATGGAGTGGTCCAGCTGAGAAGCAGAGATACAACCATGAAGGAAATGATGCATATTTCTAGGCTGACGGACTTTTTAACTAAGTATGTAACATCAGCCAAAAATATGTAAACTTAAATATGTTGAATAAAGGGAGTTTCTTAAACATCTGTGCCTGAACTGGCTTCTACAGTGTCATGGACCTGTAAAACTTGGCAGTGCATATCTTCTGTCAACTCTAGACCATCTGGGTCTTCCAGGTTACCTTGAGAAGAGACAAACTTGTCCCTCATTAGGAGGGCTAACTGTACTCTCTTTTATGTGTTCAGTTTTACTATCTTATTGAGAATACTCCATCTTAACCTAAAAATCTTTCATCTGTGTGTTGCCATCAGAATTATGGTCTCTGCTGGAAAATGGTATTTTATAAAACAGACTTCCAAATCCTAAATGTCTTAATAACATCAGTAAGTATCTTCATACTGTCTGGTTTTAGGGACGTATTTTAATCACTTGGCATCAGTTCCTCAGCATTTAAGCTACTTCATCTTGCCCTTGATAAACATCAAAATCAGAAATACATTATCAAGAGTAACAGAGGAAATGAAATAGAAATAAATTGTAAACAATTTTTGACAAGCACTTTTTTGAGGGCAAAAAATGTCTGTACATAAGAAATGGTGGAAAAAGATTAATTTCTCGTATCTACGCTGGAGTGAGATAGATACAAGGGTTTGCATAGGTATGGAGTGATTCTGATCTTCAGTAATGCATGTACAGCTTAAGTCACTTTACTGAAGTGCTTTAAGATGTATGTAATGGGGCATGTGGCCACTGGTGGACATCAATGTCATGAAACACAAGAACTTGCCTTAAAACTTTCTTCTATTGACATGGTGCTTATTTAACTACAAATGGTTAACTACAAGGTTAGCATAGTATGGATCTGTGGCTTACTGAACTCATGGAGTTCTATGTAAACTGGATATAGGCAACATTAAAACAACCCAGACACTTCTGTCAGCCTGTTGCAGGATGCGGAATTTGGTTTGGAATTAGCTGTCCCAAAAATTAAGCTTGGCATCCTTTGCCTACTCTAAGAGCTGAAGTAATGTTGAACTGAGAAACTGCCATCCTTGCTGCTAGGTAACAGCAGGTACAGAGAGCAAATATGGATGTTCTAGTGTGTGCCTAAGAGGACAATACACTTGGGATATGTATAGATATATGTATTAAATACTTAACTAGAGCCTTTTGATTATCTTACATTTTCATAGGATCCAGTTTCTTCTGCAGGAGAATTGTTACATGTACAGAACTTGGGTCTGGGGGAACGCTTTATATCATTTACAACTTTTTGGTTATTCATCAGATGCACACAATGCCGGACTGTATCTTGTGTTCATCAGGATCTTACCTGACAGCGATTGCATTGTGTTGGTTTGGGTTTATGGTGCTATTTGGGCAATAAGCTGCTGTTTGTCTAATGGGATTGTTATTTGGCTCTTTGTTAATTCCAGTTTTTATCTGTTTGTTTTCTGCTTGTTCTTTTAAGTTGAAGTCCTTAGACGTGATGACTTTGGGGTGTTGGTTGCTAGTAGAGAGCAAGCTATATTGTCTGTACCAAATAATTAGGCCAGGAAACTAGTATCTCAACACCATCTCTTTCTGTGCAGACTTCTTGATACTTATCACACCCAGGGACTGAATGATTATTTTAAAATACATGATTAAGTTAATCACAAAACTTACCTTGTGCTCAGTCTCCGATGAAGACCTGTGAATACATTGTAGCACACGCCCTCTTGTCTGCTAAAAGCCAGAATAACAGAATTCTTAATTGATTTTTTTGGTACAGATACAGAGCAGAAGAATTAATATTCATTCCATCAGCAGCTTGGGCACTACTAACATCCCTTGTGTGGTTTCATAACGGGGCTGTTGAATTTTTAGGATTAGGATGGTGATAGGCTTTTTGTTTGGGGTTTGCTTTTTTCTCCCCTCAGAAGAATCTCAGTTACCCTAATTTCTCCATAGGAAGTAAGCAATTCCAGAATGTAACTGCTGCTGGGAAAACCCTGCCTCCCCCCAGCAAAATACCAATAGTATAGCTTGAGATTTTCACCTTTTTCATCTTCTCTTCTTATAACAGAAAAGTTGATGTATTCTTCTTCTGGTTTAACAGGCACTGGATTAAAGATGATGAACAGCAGTTAACTCAGCTATAAGAGACTGACCAGGCTTTCTTTTTTTTTAAATAATCTTGAAACAAAGCAGTAAGATTCCGTATTAAGTATAAACCTGTCATGATTTCCGCAGCCTTCATGGGCCTTATCAGAGCTGCTGTCACTGTCCTTGCAGGCTGTGTGGATAGAATGCTGATTGGTATCTCGCATGAGCAGCTGGAATTCTACCTATCTACTCATGAACAGGAAGGCAGATTTCTTTGGTGAGAATGACTCCCTTTTTGATATTTAGAAACAGGAAGTTGTTGGTTTGCTGAGGGGGGTGTTTCTTTCTTTCTTTAAAATACTGACACATTCACGTGTAACTTAAATGTAGAAAACTGCAGCTTAATAGCATTGTGGCTTTCATGTAATGTCTTCATTATTGTGTATTTTCTGCAACTGAAGTAGTACAATCTCTTAGCATTGGTCAGTTGCTTTGCTGTCTAGCATTACTTCATCATTTCAGTTTGAACTGACTCTGACTCTTGTCAAAGTTAAGAAACGTGGACTGAAGAATTATTGTGTACTGAGCAATTCTGAAGAGGGTGCAGGAGATACATTAAGGTTTATTTTGCTACAACTTGCATCCAGGCCACTTTTGTCTCTTAGTAAATGGGCATTGCACCTCCGATCTGCTTACTTTCTTTTAATTTTCTTTTCCTCTGTAATGACCATTTAACCCTCACCATGAGTTGCTAAATGCAATTCTGTTTTTTTTACTTCTCTTTACAATTGATTTATATATAAAACTTGCGTTCATTTGAGCAGTTGTGGTTTTGGCTGCATGGCTGACAGACAGGTAGTGCCAAATACAGACCCTGTGTGACTTCAAATAACACCTCTGCCAGGCAGGGACAGCAGGAGAATTCTATTACTCCCTGGGTGGTAGCAGGTGTCTCCTTCCAGTGTATCTGCAGTATCTGAAGAAATTTGCCCATACTAGCTACAGACAGTGTAATAGCATTCTTCAACCAGACTCCAACAGTTAAGTTTCACGACTGCTTGGGAGTGACATGAACGTACCAATCTCTGAGTATATCACCTCGTCTTCAGGCTCTTCTACATTTGGTGCTGAAGTAAAGCCACTTGAGGATCTCATACACTTAAATTTTTCTGCAGATTGGAGAAGAAAAACAAGCACATGCCTTTATATGTATATCAGGTTTTCTCAGAGGGAAGTAAACAGCCCCATGATGTTTTTTGGTTCCTAGATAATGCTATTTTCATGATAAAAATTACTCCCTAACCAAGGGTGTTTTAATAGTATTTCCTTTCTTTACTAAGAACGATGAGGTCAATTCCTTCCACTGTTTATGTGTGTTAAATTAGATGTTGTTTTGCTTCCCCCATCGCAGACTTGCCATCTAAAACATAGCTCAGAGGTTTTGCCTTATCAATGTCTTGTTACATTGCCTGTGCTGGTTAAGACAACATCCTAAAATACCAAAAGCTTAACTCTACTTGTAACATGATGTTTACACACTAAAATGTATTCACAGCACGAATGAGCACCTCTGGAAAATGACACAGACATTCAAATAACTCACTTGCTTTATATGCAGGAATTATGAAAAATGGAATTGCCAGAGCAAGTCCTATTAGGAATAGTAGCAGGATCAGCCCAAGAGAAATTATCAGGGGCTGAGAAAATCTTCTCTCTTCTGCCAAAAAGAAAAGAAATAAAAAGGTGTTTATGCTTTCATATTCTAAGTACTTTCTGTAAATTAAAAGCAACACTTTGCATTTCTTTCAGCTTTTGGCTTATCTGGTTAATCCCCAGTAGAGTCCCAAGTGCATGCTGCCACAGCAGAAGGAAAGGACCTCGCCGGTGCCAGTAGACTCTTTCATAGGACCAGAGAGAAAATGAAACTGGACTGTCCCCAGGGCGGGCCAGGGGTTTCTTGGAAAGGTGAATCTTTTACAGTCATCCTTCATGGTCACTTCAAATTCTACTGCTATCTCAGCTGCACGGAATTCTGTCTTTTTGCATTAATTTTGAAAATCTTATTTTTCATTCTAAAAAATTGTATTTTGAACATGAAACAAAATTTATGGCTAAAAAACTTGCATTGTTACAAGATCGAGTTTCGTGTGGCCCCTGGTTACCGACAGTAGCAACTGTTTCACACGTGCCTACCTGCTAATGTGAAGTTGAAACCATTGCTGTATTTTGCATTTCTGCGAAGACCATTTTCAGCTCTACATTTATAGGTTCCAAAGTCACTAGAGGAATTGATGAATAGAACAATCTCAGCTGCTTCCTTCTGCATCATCACCTGGGAAGAGATGCTCTGTGTTCCTTTGAAGAATATGTATGTGATAGGAAGAGAGCCGTTCTCCGAGAGGCAAGACAGGGTCACGTTCTGGCCTTTCTTTGCTTGAGAGGTGGGTGAGCTCAGCACTGGTTTGGAAATGGGCTCTGTAAAAAGAAAACTGAAAAGACTGCATCATTGAGTACAGGACAAGCTCTAAAGCAAGGCTTGGAGTTAAGCAGCAACACTGGCAAATGAGATGGGTATGAAGGATGGGGGGCTTGGTGAGCCCGATGGGAATATGGGAATTGCCCTGCCAACTCCTAAGACTGTCTGCAGTAAGGTTCAGCTCCGCAGTCAAGGCAGGCACATGCTGCAGTCCAAAACAGTACCTGCTGCAAGCAAAACCCTGGCTCATGCTGCTGCAGATACGTGGCTATGTGCCCCTAAAATGAAATGTGCTGAGAAGGAATACAGCAAGACATACCTAGAAGGGTGAAGCTGAGACTGTTGCTGTATTTTCCGCCACTGGTGTTGTTATTCTCAGCTTTGCATTTGTATTCGCCCAGATCACTGGCAGAGTTGATAGTCAAGTTAAACAAACTGGGGGTCAGGTCTGGCCTATTTAAGGTGGATACCTTCTGATTACGTTTAAACAATGTGTATCTGACAGGTGGAGATCCAGAATCTGAGTTGCAGGAGAGGGTCACGTTCTGGTTCATCACTACATTCAAAGTCCCCTGCACAGGTTTGAGCCTGGGATTGGACAGCATCTCTGGAAAGAAGAAACTCCTGAGTGAGTTCACTGCACCTTTCATCCAGGAAACTCAGATTTTCCCCAAAATGTGATGAGGACCACTCTATACTCATTTCTGTTGAAACAGGGGGTTATAGGGTCTTCCTCATCCTCTGGTAGCAGGCAACACAGCTTTGTATTTTTCAAAATCAGTATGGAGTTTCAAACACCTGATGACAAATGCATGTCTTCATGCAAAAGAGAGCATATATGTACAAAGCCATAGATGTATCCAGATGAACCAACCAAAATATTTTTGAACTACAGAAGGAATTAAAATAGTGCAAGTATAAAAGATAATATAAATTTTATGGGATGTTAATCATAGGAGAAAGTAACCCTATAGGGTACTTGAGAGGTAGCATGTGAATCTGCAAGTGAAAGTAGTATTTTATTTGTGGCTGTATCAGGCAGAATTAACATCGTGTAAGTAGATTGAAGTTTTGGATAGTAGCAGCAGGGGCCTTGATGGTCTATCAAATTAGTTTGCTTTTATGGTATTGTACAAACAAGTTTGTAATAAAAACTTGTATTTTCACACAAAATAGTAATAAACTGGTAATGAATAAGATAAATTATGACACTTCTAGAGGGGGGAAAAACATGTTTTAATTTAACATGAAAGTTTTGGACATTTTAAAATTCCCCCCCCCACTATTTTTTTAACAGTTAATTTCAGCCCATATCCCAAACACAAGAAAGAGAAAACCTACCTTTGCCATTTACCATAGTCTTCTGAATCCGCTGAGATGTTTGAACTAAGAGAAGGAAAGAAAGCTTTCAGTCAAGAAGCAGTAGTTCTCGTTTAGAAAGGTTTGTAGTATGTAAGAAGGATATCCTTGACTTACGGAAGGAAAACAGCAGAATTGTGAGAAAAACCATTTTCTTGGTCCTGAGCACGCCAGCGGGTGCAGCTACAGGAGCAAGATCTTTGCCCAGTGGCTCTAGGAGTTGAGGAAGTCCTAAATACAGAAATGGAGCTGATTTTTGCTGATTGTGTAAAGACTTGTCATATTTCACTTGCATTTAGCTTATGGGAGACAGAGTAGTGGGTAGAAGCAGCTGTGGAGGGAGGAACAGCAGTTTGGGATAGAACTAAATGTTACAGAGTTGTTTCAAGATGGAGCTGGCATCATGAGCAGTTTTCCATAGGAGAGATGTGTGGTAGGGCCGTGCTGCTGTGAGCAATACAAAGCTGTAATTTTTCTAGCACTGCTAGAGGGAAGAGACCGAGATCAGTGATTCGTATCAAACAGCCACATGTTTGCTAGAGATGATGCAAGTCATCATACGGCTCAGACCGAGGGAGTTTCTGGTACTGGGTTTATTTTAGCAGCGGTATAATTAATAAAAAGTCAAAAAAAGTACGAAATCTAGAGAAGTTTTCAGGTGCTAATAAATATTTAGAGCTCGCCACCTCGTTAAAGGAGTATTTTGGTCAAACTTCAAATATTTATTATTGAGGAAGTGAGATCTTGTACTAAAGGTACAAATCTCATCACGAACTTCAGTTCAGCACCACTGCAGAAGCAAATTTGATGGCTAATTTGATGAGCTAATCAGTAATACAAAGCTACATAATTACAACAAGTAGATGTTCTTTACTTGTCATCCGTTGGGCAAAGTAAATGTAATCCTTAGTTGTACACGGGCAATGCCTTCTGAAGAGCTCTAGGCCCTGCTTTATATGAAGAAGTAACTACTTATACAGGGAACGCCTTGGAAGTGGTGTTGTGACCCTCATTTCTTTAGAGTTTATGAAAGTGACAAGACCAGGCTCTACAGTCTGTGTCATACAAACTCCCTCTCAACACCCGGCCTGGCGCAGCGCCGCGGTTCCCTCGCAGATTTTATGCACCACTTTCCTCCTTTCCTTTATTCTCCCCAGGTTTTGTTTTTAATGTAAGACAACCTCCACCCTCCCCTCGCAAACGTGTCCTATGTCGAAACCCCAGCAACCGACCGCAAGAGCGGAATGGGGTTGTTCTGCAGCTGGCAGGAAGCACGTGTAGACACGCGTGTGAGGAGCAGAACCGGGAGCGTTTGCGGCTCTTCCTGTTGCACCCACAGAGCCCTCCCGACGGCGGCAGAGCCGGTGATGGTGGCAGGATGAGTCCCCCCCGTCCTGTCAGGCCATGGGAGGCTGCTGAGGGCAGTGGTGGGAAGCAGAGCGCAGCAGCTGTAAATGGTGTGTGTGCAGAGAGCTTGCTTGGTTCCCTCAGGGTGTGTGCCCACGGGGGTATCTAGGGAACAAAAGTGCTGTTCGAAGCACTGGTTCCTATTTGGGAAGTGGGGAGAGCTTTTCCAGAACTGTTTGTGCCTTTCTTGGCCCTTGGCTTTCTTGTTTTGGACTCTGCTAAGCAACCCTGCTCTCTTCCCCTGGGTGGAGGTCTTGTAGTTCAGGGTGGCTTTGTCCTCAGTGTTTGTTTTGGTTTTTGCTTTGCTTGTTTTGTTTTCACTGAAATTTGACTTTGGTCGGAAATAGAAGGGAATATGTTTTCTTTGACACATTCCATCCATCTGAACTCTACATGTAGGTCATGGGGAAGAGCTGGGTTTCATTTAACTGTCCGATACTTGGACCTACTTGTTTCATTGCTCAAATATCTGATTACTTTTCCACTTCTATAAGTGCTTTGCAGAGCACTGAGAGAGACACTTCCCATGTAAAAAGATTTTTGTAACTGTTATGATAGGATTTGGTAGCTGAGGGTTAGCGATGAAGTTTGTATAAAAGCCAACCTGCAGTTGCTACATCACCAGGAGGGGAGTAATAACACATCCTGGTTAGATCATCACTCAGATGAAGTTTGTAATGTAAATGGTTAAGTTAGGTTGATATAAAGAAGCTTCTGGAAAAATTCATTGACTACTTGGTCCTGCAGGGCAAGGAAAGGCTGTATGAACTCATGGGAGCTGTGCCAATGGCCTGTTATTATTCTCAAGCACTACTCTTGGAATAATGCTTTTAATTTCTTCTGGTTAATGTGGATATTATTGAGATGTGCATTCAACAGATCTGAAGATGGATAGCATCCTTATGGCAGCTTTATCATAGGCTTTAAGGCAGTGTTTTTCTGTGTGTGCTGGAAGGAATTCCCAAAATTATGAGAATGAGCTTCATTAAATCCTGTTGTATTACTCTGAGAAAAAAATGTTGCTGTCTTATTGTGCCCTTCAGCAGGGAGAACAGCATCCATATTGTCCATATGGCATCCAGTTGGCCATATTGTCAATGTGAAACAGGGAAAAAAAGCAAAATTAGCCCTTGGCATCACTTTTCTTTGAATACCGACTTTAACTTTGAATGCTAAGTAGTTCATTAGTCTCTTCAAGAGTGTCCTGGACAGCAGTAAATGACGTTTACTTCCATCATGATTGTTTTTTCTGGCAGAGTTGGCTATTGACTTTGGACATACATGATGTTGGTTTGTTCAGCAGATTTATAGCACCAGTAAGATACCGTGCAAGCCTGGAGTTTCTTTTTATTAGATTTACAAATTATCTGCCTAGAATTGATGTGGCTGTACATGGAAGAAGAACTGAATACATTTAACAAAGAGCAATGTACAGAAGGGCTCCAGCCAAAACAAGTACGTTAGAAAGTCTGAGAGGGAGATGTGTATTGCTTGGTGCTGTGATGATATTCTGCCTCAAGCAAGCAGGTGGAAGACAATAAAAGCCAAACTGAGCTTTCATTCACAAGGTCAATTCTTTGACTTGAGAATGAAAACAGTGTGGGATAGCATTCTGCAGAAAGGCTGTGAAGGCTTCACAATGTATCTGTCCTGTCGGAGGCTTCCAGGGAAATTTGCGTGTTTCAGCAGAATTACTGAAGTTATTCCTGGTCCCAGTTTCTCATCCCAGAGGTCCTCCATTCTGGAAGACCGTCTGCTACAGTAAATGTCTGCAGAAGGCGTGCTAGAAATCACGATATACTAACAGTTAAGTCTGGTGATGAAATAAATTAAGCACTTGTGTTTTGTCTGCAAAAAGGTTTTGCTGATACAGCTAGATCATCACTGAATACCACATTTTCACACTCCTACTCAAAATGGCTGCGGTGGCAAGTCTGCTCTTTATTTCAACTACTTGGTACTTGATTGTAAGAAGGTTGTTTTTTGTAGAGAATAAGTAACAGTAAAAGAGGAAAGGATCTTCTTCTACAGGCACATTTAAGATATCTTTAAATTTCTGGCAATGATCCTCAGATTCTGAATGAGAATTTGAATGTGATTGATGGTTTTCAATGAACTGAAAATTGCAAAGAACATGTCAGCAGGTGAAAGGAGATTTTGGGTACGCAGTTTGAGTAACCTAGCAGCTCCTAAACCCCAAAGATGGAATGTTTGAAATGATCTGGATTCCCTCTGGCTCCTTTTGCCCTCTCTCCAAAAAAAAAATGAAAACAAAAAAGAAAGAAAAAATTTTGGTGAGACCCTGAAGCCTGGGGCTACTTAATGCATTTCTCTTGGGATGAATTCTGACATCGCTGTCTGAAAAGTGTTCCAGATAAACGTGTTCAAGAACGACTGTAAGAATACTATAGGTTGAAAGACACAGAGTACTCTCTTCAGCAGCCTTCTTTAAAAATGGATGCAAGTTTCACTTTTTCTGCTTCCTAACCTCTGATAAAAATTGATGGGTTTGGGTTTAATTTTGAGTATTTAAGATCCTGAATGAAAAAAGTGTTTTAAAAATACACCTGTCAGGATTATGTCTGGTTTTCAGCCCTTTTCAAACTACTCTTTGTGTACTCTGAGCAGTACCTGCCCCTTTGTGCATCCTACCCAGAAGTTACAGCAGTGATGTCTCTGTGTGGACACCAGCTGCAGATCAGGAAGCAGATGAATTCCTCCTCTTGGTTTGTGTATAGTCTACTGAAAGATTTTCTGTCAACTTGGATCAGCTTTTTGAGGTACTAACAACTGAATTTCACTTCTGAAACTGGTGTGGGATAGTGCTTGGAGAATCATCAAGCAATACAGAAACAATGGGAATGTACAGAGAAGGAAAAACATTTCAGGAATTAATTCCCTCTCCTGCCAGAAGGTTCTGACCTTTTCTTTGGCACACTCCATACTCTGCAATGGATATTGCTGCAGAGCTTGAGGCTGGTTTTTTGCTGCATACAGGAATGCTGGATGCTAAGCAAAATGCGTGCAAATTCTGGTGTATTGCTAGATAAGCACACTGTGTGATAGTGGCAGTCTGTGATGTTTTTTTCTAACTTGAGGAACTTGTTAACCCAGGAGAAGAAAGAAGTTAAAAATGTCCTCAGTATGTAGAATCAGTCACTTATGCCCACTGCTGGAACAGAGAAAGCTGGAGAGGTGGAATCAGAAACCATGATCCTAGTGTAAGCCAACAAATAATGAAATACAAGCCAAGACTTCAGATTCCTGGTGTTCTTTTCTATGTTGCACCATTTCAGTAAGGAAGCATAAAGCTAAATAGCAATAACCAGCTCCTGTTGTATTCAAAAGAAAAATGCCAGAGTGAAAGCCTCAGTGATAATCTTTCATTATCAGCTTCTTGGTTCCTTCAGTTACTTTTCCAGATCTTATTTAATTGCCATTTAGAGGAGGTGTTGGATATCAGTAATCATATGAAAGAGAGCTGAAGGAACCGCGTGTGCTTTGCTACAGTGCTCTTCTCCCAGTAGATGGTGCCATTGTGAAATGCAGTTTATTCCGATAGGCACAAACTTTCTGCAATCTAGAGCTTCTGTTAACTGTAGAAGTTCTAGACTTTTACAAACCCCTCAATGCTCATTTCTTTGATGTTCTTCATAAATATTCAAATCCAGGGATGAAATTCATTTTTATTCGTCTCTGGGGAGGTATAAAGACACTTAAAATACAGGTAAATGATACAAATGTCCCGCATTCAAGAGAAGATGATATACCCTGAAAATATACGTAGTAAAAAGTCAGTTCATTCCTACTTCACCAGGGATTTGGCTAGGCTTGTGAAAACAGCAGTGCTTACTGCAGTTCCATTATCTATGAGTATGCTGAAGCAGGAAGTGATAATGAAGCAAAACATTTTGGGGATTGAGGAATTAGAAATCAGAGCCGATTTTCTGTTCTTGGTAGAATATTCTTACTGGGAAGCTTGTGTTCACTTCAGTGTAGAAGAACACAGAGCTCTGAAATTTTTATCATTTTGAAAATAAGATTTAGAAAATCCCAAGCATTGGTAGATACACCTCTGCAGCCATTAACTGGTTTTAAAATCAGTGAACTTACAGAAGAAACCATTTGGACTCTCTATTCTCAGGGTCAAGATTCAGTCACCCCAGAATGTCGTGTTAAAGGTTTTGTAGTAGATCAGCGTGATACAACTTGAAGGCAACACATGTAGAGACTTTTTTCCTGAAGAAAGTGAAACTCCCGTCAGGAATGGGCATTTGAGACCAGGAGGCAAAGTTTAGATCTGCTGGAATCAGCATGTGCTCTGTAAGGAAGTAAGATGACAGTCCTGGAGACTGGCTCTGTGCTGTGCTCTTTACTGTCCTGCCAGCCAGCTGGGGAGCAAATGAAAACAAACAGCTCAAGTGTGCTGTGAACTCCCAGCTTCCTCCCCTGCCATAAGGGACTGGCTGGAAACAGTGTGTTTGCAGAGGGAGAAAGCTGAAAATCTTATTCAGCATTTTGCCTTTAATTAGGAGAATAGGCCTTGCCTCTGAGTGCAGGCAAAGCTCTGTTCAGGTGGCAGAGCTGGTGGGTTTGGGAAATGTCATATGTGAGCAAGTAGTGGAGGACCCAGCTGGTAGGAACAGGAGTGTGAATTCCCAGATGAGCACAGCTTTAGTGTCCAAGGGTCTGGCTCATGGGGCAGTAGATTAAATGTAATTATTCCCATAGGTCTCCAAGGGCATTGTGTCACGTAATAATGACTATTCTGTCTGCTTCAGAAGGTGTGTTGCATTTTTGAGGTCAGTCCTACTTTTCCCACAAATATAAGGGATTTCCTTATACAATATATATCAGACTAACTTTGGTCATTCCTACTTCAGAAAAATGTAAGATTACAGTAAGGTGACTGCTAGGAAAACGTGCAGCTGTATTACTGGCACAGGTACTTTTAAATCTAAATGCTTTAAGTCAATCTGATGTCCAGTGTAACAGTAGAAGATGGTCTGAAGCCATTCTTTTGCATTTGAAGTACTTTTCCCCCAAGTTTTATGGTATTTTGGTTTAAATTCCTGCAGTTGAATTTACTTCTTGGATTTTGGTTGATACCAGCTAGATTTTCCTCTCCAGGACAAAGGTGAGGGCTTATGAAGAACACAACAGTCTAATTGGCCTGTAACATCTTATGGCACATACTTTCCCTGGAGGGACGTCTCACAACAGCCTCAGGTTTTGGCACCATTAAACCTTACTCCTGACCTCGTTCATCCTAAAAGCTGGCCTTCCCACCTCAGGCTGAAACTAGCCTGGTTCCGTATTGGCTCACTCTGAAGGATACTAGCCCACACTCACTTTCCCCTTCCCTTGCAGTGGCTCAGAGGAGAGCCTTTGTCCCCTGTGGGAAAGACTGGTGTGGCTTTGCTGAGCTTTGTGTGTCCTGCTTAATTCTTTTATGGGGGAGAGGGGAAGGGGGAAATGGCCTTCCTTCCTATTTTTTGTTATCAATAGCAAAAGTTGGTCTACCTTTGTTCTCTACCTGCCATGTGTCCTCCTTCTCTTTTCCTTTACCTGGCTCTGGAGACCATTGCTGGCAACCAGCCAGACCATCAGTCTTTTGTTGGTGGTGCATTTCAAACAGACTGGATTAAACAGAACAAATACTACTGCTGGTTAAACAGCTTACTTCTTAGTCATTAGTTACTATGACTATTGTGCTCCCTCCCTGCAAAACAGCTACATAGATGCTCGTTCATATCGCCTATACATTGTTACACAGATGAGTGTTTCCCTCCTGTTTCCTTTTGCAAAACACTCTGCTCATGTGTGTAATACAAGCATTAAAATACACATTTGGCTTTAAACTATTGTTTTTTGTGGAAAAAATAGTTTTCATTGACTCTAGGAAAAAAGAAGAAAAAAGGGGGGGATTTCATACAAACACAGAAGCTTATGAGAACTATAAGTCTCATTTATAGGCTTCTGTGAATGTATTTAGTATTGTTTTCAGCAGTGTTATAACAAGCTTGGAAAATGCTGCTGGATGTAAAGCACAGCACTGAGTGTATCTCAAAGGAAAGAAACTAAGGGATTAAGAGTTGAACACTCAATTTTCAAGAATAACTAAGTCACTGTTTAGGGATTTCTGGACACACAACTTGAGAAACGCTTTTTGAAGGACCATGATTTCAGTTCACTCTCTCAAGAGTATAGACTAAGCCTGTGTTAGGGCTCAAGTGGAATGACTTTCAGTCTGACTCGACAGTGGACTGATAAACCTCAGTGGAAACTGAGGGCAGAATGCTAAAGTAGAATGTTCTGCAACTTTTCCCCCTCCTCTGATCATATTTGCTCAATTCTGCTTTTGGTGTTCTGAATGAAGAATTAATCATCCCTGATTTCAGGCTGGCTGTCGTATTGCTCCGTGGCAGAAGAATTAACACAGAAGAGGTCAGAAGATCCTCAGGAATATAACTCGTGCTCCAGAGTATTCTCTATTTCAGATTGTGACACTGCTGCTTCAGATTTCTGCCAAGAAATGCAACTCCAACCAGTTCTTTTCTTGGGTATCTTTTGCACTATCCTAACTACATCAAATTAAATCTTGTGCAGTTCCATGTTTTTGATACAGAATGGTAGCATGAAGGTCTGCCTGTCAATATTCTAGTCTAACACAACAGGAGCTGTGGTTTCTGATATAATTTGAATTTATTGTGCACCTTATAGTAAAGCTGTTCTTTGCCACAGCAAAGGTGAGAAACCTGGAAATGAAGGTAAAGGGAAAAAATTAATAATTCTGTACATCTATTCTCTACAAGAGTTCTCCATGTCAGGGTGAAGGGAAATATTTGCTGAAGGATCTGCTGAGGTCAAATAGCAAAGGTAATTTTTGTCCATAAATGGTTAATTGTGACTTAAAAGTGCCCATATTGACAGGAACTGCAGGATAAATGTCATTGGAACTTCTTGTTTTTTTAATACACCTTAAGAAATTAAACAAAGCAAATGCATTTGGTGGCGCCCTCAGGAAAAGTCCAGTCACTTCCTGAACAGTAATCTGCCTGTGAGCAGCAGATAGATTCTCATTGTTTGCCATTTCCAGTTTCCAGTAATGGGAACGATTACTTGATCCAGCCAGTTTTTGAAGATCTGGGAAAACTTATGTATTTTAATGGCAAAATTTTACCAGTTTCCATAAAACAACAACAGAAAAACCCATAACCTGTTTTTGGTACCTGGAGGCATCACCTCTGATGATGAATATTGTTTTATTTTGGAATTAGGTGTGTGTGTTCTTCGGGAACGAGATGTATCTTGCTCTTCTGGTGATTTTCTTGCAGTGTAAGTTTGATAACTAAGTATCTGGGTGGGTACATGTGTTTGGGGTTCGTTTGGGGTTTCTTGGGGCTTTTTACTGCTTCCCATTACATTCTCTTAATCTGTAATTTGAAAATAACGTCTCTCTTCTTTTTTTTTTCCCCCAGGTTCAGAACTTTACACTCAGGACAGAGGTAGGTCATGAGTTTTTCACATACAAAATGTATATAAGTAATTTAACTAATGGTTCAGTTGTTGGTGTGCGTCTGTGGCAGGGTTGATCTGGATTTGCGGTGCTATAGCTCGGGATGAAATTTTGCCACATGAAAACTGAAGAAGGTTTTGCCTGGGGATGTTTCCTGGTATAGTGTTTAAACGAGAGATGTGCTGCTCATACTTTAGAAATATGTTCTCTGAAATCTTTCCTGGAGTAATTTGCTTTACTGAGAGAAGAGATGGGAGAGGACATTTAATTACTAGCATTTTGTTTTGGTCTTTAAAAAACCCCTCTCATGCCCACAGGCAAGGAGGTAGGATAAAATTACAGACTGTAAGTTAAGGGCACTTTCTCTTGCTCCTTTTTCTTGCAAAAGAAAAGGTGGTGTGTGAGCAGAGTACAGAACTTGTGTTCTGAAAGGAATGCCTTTACTTTTGACTTTATCATCTTGCTGACTTCCAGCACGTACATTCTGCATGCTTCCTTTTTCCATCACTAGAGAGAAATGCTGCTTCTTGTTGTCATGTAGTCTATTCACATGCAAAAAAAAAAAAAAAGTACTATTTTTTGCATTGGTTTTATGCCCAAAACTCTCTCTAGCAAGGACAGTTTATAAATAGCTGGTACATGGCAAGGGACTCCTTTAGATGCGGGAGTTTTCCTGTTCTAGTAGCAAATTTGTAATACAAATCCTGACTGAAATGGGCTTACCCAAAAGCTGTAGCTTCTTTCTCTGTATTTGTTCTTCTTGTGTGAAAAAAATACTAATTACACCAGGATTCTAATAATTATAAAAATTGAAGCTACAAATTCATTATTATTGATGTGGTCTGAACACAGAAGCACTACATATGTATTAATGCTGTTCTAAACTTTATTTCCTAAGGTGTTTATCAGTGTTGTTATTTTTGAAATAGGAATGCTGTATGCAGGATATTTTTTCAGGGACTAACATGTCTAAATTCTGAATTAATTGAAAGCATTGCTTCTGCCTGTGACTCTGGATTTGACTTAATCAGAGTATTGCTAAGGACTCTTCAGAGTATGATTGCTGGGCTTCCAACAATGTCAAGTTAGACATGTGCATGTTTGCTTGCAGAACTTGAACCCAAATATCTTCTGTTGTGCTCTAGTTATCCTAAACTAGAGATTTAAGATTATCCCAAGCTTGTGAGCCACATTTAAAGTGAAATTTGCTGAATGACATAACCCTAACCTTACTTCCAAGGAAAAAATACTGGGATAACTCCAGGGATTTCTGCTAATTGGGGATGAATTGGCTTGTGGTTTATACAACTCTAAGCAGTTTGTTATTAAAATGCAGCAGCTTGAGATAACAGTATTATGTTGGATTAATTGAAAATAAGTATAAATCTTGTTTCTTCTTTTATTTTCCATCAAGTTTTTACTTTCAACACAGTTGAAATCAATGTCCAGCCATCTGTCAAAGTCAAGAATGGAGCTTCTATGTCAATTATCTGCCGTGCTGATATTAGCAAAAGTACTGATTTCCAGCTGAAGCATAACTTTACAATTTTTAAGGATGGCAAGCTTGTGTTCATGACTGTATCAGACAAAGATGATGCTCGATATGAAGTACCTATGGCTAGATCTTCAGATACAGGAGAGTATGAATGTACTGTGGAAGCAGGTGGGAAGACAAAATCAAGTAACTCCTTACATGTGTGGGTAGCAGGTGAGTGAGTGTTCCTTCAAACATGGCAGTTAGCTTAAGATACAAAACAAGAAGCATTCAGGGAAAGTAATAATAGTCAGTGCTAAATAGGATATCTTGCAAAGTGCTTTTTATCCATAGACTTCACAGTGCAAGACTTTAGTACTAAATCTTCATGGTAAGGCACAGAAATGAAATCACGATCCCAAAGCTATGTGGCAGATGAGTGATAGTCAGGAACACAATCTGTGCCTCCTGTGCCACCACCCTCTGCCCTGAGCCTCTGTTCCTTAGACTAGAGCAAGTGTTATGTGTGAAAGCTTGTGCCCATAGACCATGAACATGATGGGGGGTGGGTAGTTTGCTGGAAAAGCTGGAAATAATGTATTGAGATTCTCACCTTGTGATAGCCATTGCCAAAGCTATTATCACCTCTGGACTGCTTTTGTAGATATCAGTCTTGTTCTCTCATCTCTTGTGAAAACAGGGGCCACCTCCATCTATACTCTTTCCAGCCGTGTGTTCTTGACTGCAAGTGATATTTTTCCTCTTGGAAAAGCAACTTGGAGAGAACTCATTCAGAATTAGTTACAGGGTTGTGGAGGGCTTGTAACGTTTCTTCAGAGGCCTCTACCTCTAGGTACAGGAACTGGGATGGCGTTAGTTTCTTTGCTTGCTCATTTCTTAGTAGCAATAGGAAACATTGAGGAGGAAGTGGTCTTACCTTCAAAACACCAACTTTCATACTTCACACATTGCATAGAGATTGTAGTGCCCTCTCGAAGGGACATTTTGTTCTTCCAAAGGTGCCTTGGCATGTACCCACACATCAAAGGAACTGTCTTCAAAAGCTCAGTTCTTACAAATGATTTGCACCTCTTCATTAGCATAGATCACTCCCAGAGTCATCAGATATAGTGTTTATTTCAGGATTGTGCAATGTTCTGTTTTGTTTTTCTTGTCTTCTGTTCTAAGGAATGACCAAGCCAATCCTCACTGCTGAGAAAAAAGAAGTTTTAGAGGGTGAAGTTGTGAAATTACGTTGTGAGCTGCCAGAAGAAGTTCCTCCTTTATATTTCTATTTCCGAAAGATAAAGATGAATTCAACACCTAAAGAAAAATATGTCTTTGAAGCATACAAAAATTTTTCTGAAGTGGAATTTTCTGTTGAAGAAGGAGATAATATTTTACAGTTTGATTGCTTTGGTAAGAGACATGTACAACGTGAATTTGACAGCTCAGAACACAGCAACAAAACACTTGTTACAGTGAAGGGTAAGTTGTTTATCTTTTCTTTTTACAGTTCTTTGCTTGCTATGATTAAAAAGTTGGGTCATGAGTTTCTATGTATTCTCTTGCAGAACCATTTATAAAGCCTACTCTGAGTGTCAAGCCCTCAAATAATATTACAGAAGGAGACAGAATACAGCTTGAATGCTCAACTGTGGTAGCCCGAATGCGTGACATTGAAATCATACTGCAGAAAAACAAAACAATACTGAACAGTGTACGAGATGAGAAAGTTTTGCAATACTCTGCAGTAGCTACTCTAGAGGACAGTGGTGAATACCTGTGTAAGGTGGAGCAAGGGAGAGCATCTAAGTCCACCAAAGTGAATGTTGTTGTGTCAGGTAACACCTCTGTTCACTCAGTAGATTAACATTTAAGTTCAAATTCAGTAGAACTCAAGATCTAAGTGTGACCTCCAGACACAAGTGTAATTTTTTCCTTAAGTTAAAGGCTATTTAGATTTAGATTTTAGTTTCTGATTTTTGCCTGCCAATACTTTCCAACTGAAATAATACTTCCAAATAACACATACAAGAAGTGGTTTCAAGTGATTGTTAAGTTACATTTTCCCTGAAAATATTATTATATTCAAATAAGATGATTATTTTTTTCCCTAATTATAAACTTTCACTATACCTTCATTCTGTATACTTTGAGATAGGTGGTCTTATTCTTTTAGGCTCAATTTGAGTGAATTAATTCTCTTTTTACCTTACAGAGTTATTCCCCAAGCCAACACTGGCTGCTTCTATGAACAAGCTGGATGAAAACAGAGAGTTAACTCTGAGCTGCAGCGTTAGTGGCTTTCGGAAAGCCAACTTCTCTGTGCTGCGGAGGACTTCAAATGGTGATGTCTTGTTGAAAACATCTAGAAACTTGACAATGAGAGTTAGTGTGAATGATACTGGATCCTACATCTGTAAAGCTGAAGTAAAAGGAATAGTCAAGGAGAGCAAACCTGTAAGAATAAATGTTTATGGTGAGTTGATACAGAGGTTTAGAACCCAATGGTATAGGGGGAAATTGAAACTGTAAGCTTATTTATAAGCCCATCTGTTCACAGAATCAGTCTCCAATCCATGAACTAGCAGGATGTCTGTTTGTCCATGCAGTATTAATTTCTATGAGATGTGCTTGTCATCTTTAACTGTAGTGGATTTGGCCTGTTGTGATCTAATCAAGTCAGGCTTTTCCAGGGCTGGTCATCCTTCTCTTCCCTTGATTCTGCTAGGTGCCAAATAAACTCTCATTCATTACCATTTGCAGGAGCTGGGAATGTTCTGCAAATCTTTCACTCATCAGTTTGATCTGAAACTCTGTCAGTGTCTGCCTTGAATCCCTCCCCCTGACCCTCCAGGTAGAAAGCTGTGAGAACCAGAGGACATCTGGAGAGTTCTCCTCCAGAAAAGCCAAGGTTTTTGCTATCAGTACAACCCCTTCACCAGCACACTAATTCTAAACACCCTAGTTTCCTTCTCTCTCATGGAACAAGCACAGTTAGTTCTCAGGTCTAAAGGGGGTTTAATCTTCCTCTTTGGGTTGTGATTCACTCTGCTGCAGAAGCAGAGGTCCCTGACTAGGTGCTGCAGGATCCATCTCAGCTAATACATATACTGATACTTACATGTATTTTTGTTCTACAGACTTACTCCTTGGGTCAGAGCTAGTTCTGGAGTTTGGATGATCCACAGCTATGTCACTGATCCTTGTTTTTTCTTCCTTTACATTCTCGTCATATACTATTTTATTCTGTCACATATGTTCTGTTATCTATATTCTTGTTTTGTTCAAGTCATCTCCTGCTTCCATTCTAACAATGAGAAGGAGTGCAAACTAGCTAAATATTGTGTATTTGTATGTTTTCTATAAAGTAATGTATCTTTCAGCTTTATGCAGTGTAATTTGCCACAATTTTTTCTGTTATTCCCCTTTAAGCTCCAGTCTCCAAGCCAACTCTTTCTGTTGTCAGTGGTTTACCAGAGGTGGTGTTAGGGAAGCCTCTACAGTTAATCTGTCGTTCAGCGATGGGAACACCACCAATAACATTCACATTCTACAAAGGAAATGACATTAAGAAAACAGTCATTAATAACACATATGCTATGTTCTTGGATGAAAACGTGAGACAAAATGACAAAAGGGGATACAGATGTGATGCTAGAAATAATCACTCCAGTGGTGTGAAAACCAGCAATATTCTAAACGTCACGGTCGTAGGTAAGTGTTTAATTCTTCCTCTGTCTGATGCCATATTTTGAGGTTTGAAACTGTAGCAGCAAATGCTGGACTAAGCATAGTAGATGTGGAATGTTTACAAATTTTTGCTCACTTGAATTAAAAATAGTTGGAGTTTGGTATCTCCGACCATTTGTCGCTAAAGTAAAACAACTGATAGTGGTCTGAATCAAGTTAACTACAACTGAGGTTATGTTGATGTTAAAAACAGCTCTGACTTGGAATCTTACAGAAGCTGTTTTAGTAAAACTAAAGATTCAGAATTTCAGAATAGATCTGTTTTCTTCATGTTAGATTTTCATAGGACTGGATTAAATGTGTGCATAATATTAGAGATAGGCTATGATTTTAATCACTAAAATAACTGATATAAATCCCTAAATGCCTCTGTTATTAGCTGCTCTTTTCAGAGGCACAGAGCATGTGTTCAGCATCAGAAGCTGCAGTGGTGAAGCAGCTCTGAAAGTCAGTTTATTACTGTGCCTATTAGCAACTAGGAGTTACTATATATGAGCAAGGTCTCTGCTCTACAAATATGTATGAAGTAGAAAGGTAAAATTCCCCTGTCTGTGAGGGCAGTTGGTAGTTGAAGCTTTAAAAAGAAGATGGTAGTGAGGTTTCGTGTGACAGTTAAAACATACAACACAAGCATTAAAACAACTATTTCTACAATACAGTATTTTATCATCAAAGTTATTTCTAGTAGTGCTAATATTTGTTTTCTTTGTGCCTTCCCTGTAGTGCCGATCACGAATGCCAGCCTGGGCAGTGTTCCCTATGGAGAAGTGGAGGAAGGCAGTGAGACTACTTTTCTCTGCTCTGTGAAAGAAGGATCTTGGCCAATCCACTTCAGGATTTTTAGAAAAACTGATCATGATGTTCTTGTGTTTGAACAAAGTGAACATGCTGACAGAGTCATATGGCGCAAGAGCACCATGAGCAGGCAGGACACGGGGACATACTACTGCATGGCTTCTAATCGAGCTAATGTGGATGTGAAAAGCCATCCAATAACCATCAATGGTAAGCTAACTTTTATGATAAGCTGCATGCTAGGTCATCATAACAGGTGAGGTTATGTTATCTGGGATGTTACTAGGTATAACACCCTGACTTCTGTTCCGCATTTGTCAGAAGTTGAACAGGGAGATCTATTTACAAACAGAGGTTGTCTAACTTGCATAGAAAAGTTTAAATGAAGCTCAAAAGTCACAGGAGACAAATACAAGCTAAAAGCAACTCGTTGTACTGAGGTTGCAGTCACAAAGGAGTGGCTCACTAGTGAACTTTGCATGCAAATCACCTTAAAGTTCTTCCCCAGTGTGTAAGAAGGCCAGTTTGTAGGAAAATGAAAGGTCAGGAGCTGCAGAAGTTGGTAATGGTGACCTGTCACTGTGCAAATCCTCTTCATTATGTCTTTCTTATTTCCAGTGATCTTAGCATCTTGGCAGAAAGGAGTCATTGTTGCATTTGTCCTAATACTCATCGCAGGAGCCATGACTCTCGCTTTATGGTGGTTTTTGTGTAAGAAGAAAAAGGGTAATGAATGGTTCCCTTCTATTTGTGACAAATGTATTACAGTTAAACTTGCATTTGTTTCAGGAGCAAAGGCTGTGGGGTGAGGCTTTGGAGATGACTAAATACAATTTCTACAAAACTTACGATCTACTTCAAAGTGCTGGGTGGCCCAAGTTGAGCTGCGGGTGTTTTGGAGCTTTCCAAGAGTGTTGGGCAGAATGGGACCGTCTAACTGATGGTGTTGGGAAGTCACTAGTAAAGCAAAGGTTATTGGAGATAAGCCAGAACTGCACTGGTCTGATGCAGTTCTAGGTCTGGAATTCAGTCCTGTGCAATGTAGAGGCAGACAGGGCTGAGGGGTTTTTTAGGTTTGATCCCTCACAGAGCTATGACAATTTGATTTGGGGTCCCAACTCAGGTGTTACTGAGATGCTTCTCTACTCTTTAGGAAACAAATTTGAGAATATTGGGTTGTGGAGTCAATTTTTGGTTGGGGTTTTTTTGTTTGATTGGTTGTTGTTTTGGTTTTTTTCTCCTCACAGCTGTAACATGATTTCACTCGGGGATTTGTCTTCTGTCATTAAGGTGTTCTTCCAGATCTTGTTCTTTCAAAAAATAAATAAATCTGGTTTATCCTGTGATATGCAGTACATTGCAAAATATTTGGGAAAATTTGGAGTATCTGGATGTCCCAGACTACTTAAATTGGCCAGGCTAAAATCTCAGGTTTGGGATTTGAGGTTCTCTGTGCAAGAGACATTTAAGGGGCCCGGGTGATAAATGGGATGTAAGCCACTGAGTAATTAATTTTGTGATAACCAAGAGAAATGATTCTGACTTGGGTAGATGATCACTATGTGTTTGTTTTGACTTTTAGATTTAGTTGTGCAATCAAGTAATAGATGCTTTTGTTTTTCTCTTGTCAAGCTAAAGGACCATCCATGGAGATGTCTGGGTAAGACGGCTTGCTGTCCTGGTTTCAGCTGGGATAGACTTAATTTTCTTCCTAGTAGCTGGTACAGTGCTGTGTTCTGGATTTAGTATGAGAATAATGTTGATAGCAACAACTAAAACATCAGTGTGTTAAGCAGTGCTTACTCTGAGCCAAGTACTTTTCAGTTGCTTGTGGTCTGTCACTGAGGAGGTGCACAAAAGGCTGGGAGGGAGCAGAGCCATGACAGCTGACCCTTTGAACTGGCCACAGCGATATTCCATAGCATAGACCATCATGCCCAGCAGAGAAACTGACCGGAAAGGTGATGGTGGTTAACTGGGATCTATTGGAAAGTGTGGAACCTGAGCATGTAAATGGTGCATACCCCCCTGGCTTTGGCTGGGATTGACTTAGTTTTCTTCCTAGTAGCTGGTACAGTGCTGTGTTTTGGATTTAGTACTAGAATTACGTTGATAACACACTGATGGTTTAGTTGCTGCTCAGTAGTGCTTACTCTGAGTCAAGTACTTTTCAGTTGCTTGTGGTCTGTCAGTGAGGAGGGGCACAAGAAGCCGGGAGGGAGCAGAGCCAGGACAGTGACCTGAAGTAGCCACAGGGGATATTCCATAACATAGAGCATCATGCCCAGTAGAGAAACTGGGGGGGATGGCCAGGAGGTGCCAATCACTGCTCGGGAATGGGCTGAGCATCAGTCAGTGGGTGGTGAGCAATTGTATGGAGTATCACTTGTTTTACTTGGGCTTTCTCTCTCCCTCCCTTCCTCCCTCCCTTTCTCTCCTTTTTTCATTACTATAATTGTTATTATATTTTACTTTATTTCAGTTATTAAACTGGTCTTATCTCAACCCACGGGTTTTACCCTTTTCCAATACTCCTCCCCACTCCCACCCGGGAGTGAGTGTCTGTGTGGTACTTAATTGCTGGCTGGGGTTAAGCCACAACACTTGCTCCATAGTATTTCTGTTTAAAGGGCTGGAGGCCTTCCACCATATGAATATAGATTATCATGGCACACACCTGCAGACAATAGACGGTTGTGCTTCATGTACCACCTGCTAACACAACAACAGGATGAGGAAATACTCTAAAAATAGGGGGAGGGGGGAAAGCCAGCTACGAGAAATAGAAGAATGTCAGGCCTGCATTTGAATGCATTTAGGTGTGGAATTAAAAATACAGAGGTCTTAAGAGTAATGGAAGAGGGAACATTTTTGGCCTTAAAATTCGTTTGTGCTTCTTTTAAAAAGAAAGACAGAATTTTAATTAGGTTCAATAATTAAGACTATGTGGTGGTTAGCATAGACAATGACTGATCTTTGCATAGCATCATGTTTTTGTTGACTGCTTTTGGATAATTCCATCAACTTTCATTTGCTTTTCAGTCCTGCCTTGGCTACTAACTCGACAAGTGAAAAACTGACAAGACAGCATGATGATGGAGACTACTATTCAGGTAAGATATTTTGCTGTAAGACTATTAGTGAGTTGGCTTAATTAAACATTTATTTAAAGTTTTGCTTTTTGAATAGCACCCAGATTTGGGAATACTTGGGAGAAGGTTATTGGTATTTCTCTGTATCTTCTATCATTTTGCCTCTGTACAGTTTTTTGTGAGCACGTCTTATACAAGATCGGTTTATAAGTCTGCTCAGATATTTCTACCAGGCAATAAGTTCACAGTATCTCAGATGGAGAACTCATGGTTCTGTTTGCAACAGTTTTGACACAGCTGCAAGAAAATGATTTCAGAGAGGAACTCTAAGTTGTGGCACATGGGCCTGTGATGAGGCCACAGTACAGCGATGTTAACTTGCCGTGACTGGGCAACTTCCATTGCAGTGCACTTCACAAAGATGGGTGGACATGTTGTCAGAGCACCTGATAGAAACAGAGCTCCCCCTGGGGTGTTTTTTAGCTGATTGTTTAAAAAACCCCAATCTTCCCACCTGTGTTTATGAATGTCTGGGGTGTGGATCTAAAAGTAGGATTTCTCATATATAAATAACCATAATGACAATAGGATTTGCAGCTGTGTAACTCATTCATTTGATTGGCTACAGTAAATATTTTGTCAGTTCCACTTTTGATTTAGTGTTTTAGGTTTGGGTTACACTGAAGATAGTGAAAATTGCATGAATCAACAGATGAGAGTAAAGCTAATTTTATACTTAAAGAGAAATAGAAGAGAGGAGCTGGAGCAGGAATATGGGAGAGTCTCAGATGATTCCCTGCTGCATTTGTGTTGTGCCACTTTTGAAGGTGTTAAATTGAAAGTAACAGTTTTAGGCACAATTTGCATGTCCCACAGTTTCAGAAATCTGGCTTGAGTTGGCCTACTGCCTTTGGGATTGGGATGACCTAGGAATGGGTTGGTCTTAAACAGAGTAACTTGCATCTGCTGTAAGTAGGGCCTGATCCTGCACCTATCAAAGTCAATGAGGACTTGTCCATTAATTTCAGTGGCAGCAGGATCAGGCCCACAGCTCAAATGAAGTATGCAGTCCTGCAAAGAAACATCTTCTTGATATTTTTGGGGCAGGACCTGACCTTGAGAGTGCTGAGGTGGAGTACACTGAAGTTGAAGTATCAACGCTTGATCCTCACAAAGGTAATAAACTCTCTGGCCTCTATTGTTATGTTTTGGGAGCAACTGTGGGCATGCTGTTACTCCCTGACTGGTTTGATATTGGCAGTGGTCAATGTAAAAGCAGGTTGTGTTTTCTGTGCATGACTCTTTAATGCAAGTAGTGCTTCTCAATCTAGACAATGCTGTGGCAAGCATGCTGCTGTTCACTGCAGCCCTTCTTCCCCTGGGATCCTCTTGTGGACTTGCCCTTCCCACCCACATGAGGTCTGTGCAGAGCAGGGCTCTCAGATGGAGCTGTGGCTCTGAGCAGAAGGCGGCCTTCTGTGAATCTTCATGTTACAGAGCCCAAATTCACTGGGAGCCATTTGAAGTTGGCCACAGGGTAGGGTAACGGAGAGAACAGAAAGCAGTGGAATTTCCTCCTTTATGAAGGAACTGGTTAGAGGGTCAAAGCTGTAGTTCACTTGTGATAGAGAAGGAAGATAGACCAGTGTAGATTTAGTCTCTCAGTTTGGAGAGGCCTGGATTTTGTGGCACATTAAACAGGGAAATGAGAATACTGACGTCCAGATAACTTTGGATCTTTGGTTACAGTAGCCAGACCTCATAGCATGAGCCTAAGGTAGACGTCTGTGCAACCTTGAAGGAGGAATGTCCACTGGCATTTATTCTCAACACCCAGCGGCACACTTCAGCCATCCTGTGTCATGTGCCCTTGTGCTGAAAGCTGTTAAATATTTCCAAAATATACAAAGAGTTCCAAGTAGCTGCGAGTGACTAAAGCCCACGAGGGGGGGTTATGCTGTGCTCTGGCTTTTTTGCTTTAGCCAAAAAGAAGCAGACTAAGGAAGAAATGGATAAATTGCTTTTTCCTGGTAGGAAGGACCACTCACTTATTTCAGAGACCAAAGGCATGATTGTTTAGTTGGTAATACAGATGTTTGGGCAGAAGTGCTCACTCTTGCTTGGCAGCAAAGCTCTGCCAGAACTGCCAGTGCTATTCTTTCTCTGGTTGTACTTGCTGGTATCATTCATCTTAGAGTTTTCCCTGTGTTCTAAGCATGCTATTTTTCCACCTCAGCTAAATTCTGCACTGAGATGCCATAGTTGTCATACTCTTTTTCAGAACAGGGCTAATACTGAATTTTTCCAACTGTTTCTGAGGGTGCAGTATACAATACAGTGGTATAGAATGGTAAAGGTATGCTACTGCATGATTATTTAAATTAAAATCCCTATTAAATACAAGATAAGCATCTCTAAAAATAACCTTTTCATCCCATCTCTGATATATAACACTATTACAGTATAGCAGACTAATAAGATAGTATCTATGCTATGTAGACTGAACCCCATTAAGATGCGAAATAATGTTTATTAGACAGTGTGTAAATGAGATCAGATTATTTTAACTGAATGCTGCCTCATCTTACAGACCTATGTCTGACACCCAAAACATTAATTGATTCTGTAAGACTGAAATGTGCTTCAAGTATATTGAGATATGAGAGCTCCCTAATCTATTCCTTTGTGGCACCCAGGACACAAGTGAATGCTTGGCAAACGAATGCTTTGGATATGTAAATAGCAACTGCACTGCAAGTATTTAATGTGTTAATCTCTCAGAGCATCTTGAGGGTGCTGTTTAAATGGCAGGAGTTGTACGAGACCAATTTGCAAGATTAATTCTTTCAGCTCTGCACTGCTGAAAGAATCACAACGAGAACGGGATGAGATTTGGTCTTGGGAAAAGAGAAGCAAAGCCAAGTTCCTTTATATACCCTTGTAATAATCACGTGCACCCACAAAAAGAATTCAGCCGTAGGTCTGCCACCAACCCTGCTGCCACCTTGATGTTACTATACAAGTTTTGTTTAAAATCATCATATTCTTTCACGTCTGCCTGTGGGTTATGACCAGCCCTTCTTAGGGAACAGGCGTTTCAGATTATCACCCTATCACACCTCTTTAGATTCCACTTACTTTCTGAATGAAGACAAAGTATATCATGCTCACTTTTCTCTAGGCATTCCTATCTCCTCTAGCAGGCTGCATGTACGTTCTGATTCCTTCTGCCTTTAGAGGAACTCCAGATTTCTTTGATCTCTCAGGACTAACTTAAAATTAATTTATCTTCCCAATCATTTGTTCCTCCTGCCACTGTTGTCAATGTAATACAAATGTTCATCTCAGGAGCCCAGAATCCTATCTTGTGTGTTGTGAAAGACTACTGCAATAAATGCTGCAGTATCTAAGCTATTACAGTAGCCTTTATGTCACTTTTGGGAATCAGGAATAATTGAATGTCACCTCAAAACAAGTCTACAATAATTGCAGAAGGATGAACATCTTGTCTTGGACACTAAAGAACTACTTACATTTGAAAACAGTGTTTTCACCCTGATTTCCCAGCCATGTCCGCATTTCTGAAGTAATTTTTAAGACAGTATAATGCTGAATAGGCTCTTGCATCAAGAACTTTATAGGTACTATGCTTCTTCCCTGTCAGGGCTCCTTGCAGTGTTACTGATTGTGAATGGTAAGCTTGATGGAAGCGAAGTTTCACTGCTTCATTTGAAAACTTCCATGTGGGAATAACTTGGTACCTATTGTTTGAAGTAGGGGTGAAGCTGCTAGGCAAATCTAAGGTAGAGCTGGGACCACTCAGTCCAGCTCTTATTTGGGGTACTCATAGTGGCATGTTAGTTTGATGTTTAAAAGAGTGGCAATTCTAGAGAACGACTGAATTGAATACTTCAGGCAATTATGATTGCCAAAAATATAGTGCTTATCTTTTCTAAAGCCTAGTTGTGCAAAAAGGTGGCAAAGTGATTTAGACCCTTTATTGTTAATCCAAGCAAAACCAAAGGCCAGTGCTGAAGTATGATCAGGAAATACCCCTGAAGAGAGAAGGGAACTGCTAATGGAGGCTGAGTAAGAACATGCTCCTTCTCTTACTTTTATGGCTGGTTACTTATCTGCAGGGTGGCAACACTGTGAAGTTAGTGGAAACAAAATGTGAAATCATCCAAGTAATTTCTCCAAGCACCTTTTTTTTCAGTGCTGAGACACCGTGTGGAAAATTAACAAAGAAACTACCATGAGCAATGACATTTTATCACAATTTAATGAAATGGTCTGGAAACAAAAGGCAAACTGAGGAAATGCCTCCTACCAAGGCTTTCCACAGAGCCAATAGGAGTAGGTTCAGGACTGTCATCTGCTAACAAAAGTATTCCAAACAAAATGAGCTGTTAAAATTCTGAGATTACTTCTTACTTCACTGGGGAGTGAATTGGTAATTTAAGCAATAGCCCATAAACACATGAAATGTGCTGGAAGATCTTCAGACTAATCTGCAAAGAAAGTTAATGCAAAACCTGTGAGTTTGGGAGCTGTGATTAGGCACTCAGTGAAGTGTAACTCCTACTGTCACTGAAATTAATCACAGGTTTGCAACTCAATTCTGATGTGTGAGCTCCCAACATTTAAAGGATGCTTAACAGAATTAAAACAAAGGAAATTAGCTTTGGGAAATGAGAATGTTGAGTTCTTCAGAGAGGTGCAGAACAGTAACAGTCCTGATTCTGGGACTGGCTGCAAATTAGTCTGAATTCTTTAAGTGTTTTTTTAATAGCTAAAGTCCAGGACTCTACCCAGAAATGCGAGTTTTCTTTCCAGTTTCTTGCAGGTTTTCTAGTTCTCACTTTAACTAGAAAAATCTCACCTCTTGGTTTATTGAAGAGCCACAGAAATTGGAGTGAGACTGGTAGAATTCTGCGGTTTTCTAAGAGACTCAATTTAACTGAAATGAATGAATATTGCTAAACTGCTTTGAGATCCTTGAATAACAAGCTCCTAGACCCAGCCTGCACAGGCCTTTATACCAAATGAGGACTGATTTTAAATGCACAGAGGTCGGGAGCACTTTGCTTTACAATGGTTGCCCAGGGATTCTTTATTTGCAAACATGCAAGAAATCAAGGAAATTGTTCTAATCACCTACTTAGCCAGAGCTGTGTTTACACTGACATACAGAAACTGGGTTCTTGCTATTTCCAGTCCTTTAGACACAGCTGTGCCCCTTCCCTGCTGGGATAAGTGCCTGTAGTTTGGTATTAAAACTCAGATAGCAAAAAGGGAAGAGCTTTTGGCTTTCCATCTCATACAAGAGCAGAGGTTTACAGGGGCCTATTTGTAAACCTAAGGGACTGCAAAGTAGTGTCTGACACTAACATTGTGTTTGTATCTATCTCAGCTGTGTCCTTGGAGGCACAAATCCTCTCTGTCTGCTTTTTCTCCTTAATTTCTATCTTTCCACAAGCCTTCTTAGCCTTCACTCCTTCACCACCTGATCTCAGAGTGCTAACAGAATAGTCCACCACGCTGAGGAACTGAGAGGAGATCTTTCCCAGACAGCACCTAAACAGAAGCTGTGCAGTGTGAAATCCGCAAACGTTCTGAGACACTTCACAAAGAACAGCAAATTAGATCTGTGTGTGTGTGTGTGTGTGTGTGTGTGTGTGTGTGTTTGCCCAGGCTAGTTGTCAAAAGGTAGTCTTCCAAATGATAGATCTCCTCAGGTCTAGAACCCTTAAATCCCTCGAACAAATCAAAGAAGGTCTTCAAAGTGATCTAGACAAACTCTTCTCTAGTGGCAGATGTCTCTGTAAAATGAAAGCAGTATCAATTTGAGAAGATAATTAGAATGTTAAAGTCAAATGTAGAAAAGGAAGCCTATTTTCATCATCATTTATATACAGAGGGAGAGACATTTCCCTCTCAGAACCTTACAGGCTGGGTTTCGGGAGGGGGTGTGGTTGCTTTTTAGTACAGACTCCACAGGCTCGTTGCTGCGTGTGTAACTGCTTGCTCTGAAAGTAAAACAGTGTGTTCTGTTTGTTTAAGGAGCTTTTCATAAGGCAAACAAAAAAGAAAGATAAAAAAAGATAAAAAAAGAAAAGAAATTGATTCTGTGCCAATACGTTTTCCAGCTCCTGTACAGAAGGGGACTGAAACAGTTTATAGTGAAATCAGAAAAGCTAATAATGGTAAGTAAGCTAGTGAAAAATTAAACACATAAGGGAAGTGTTTGTATAGAGATTAGGGCTAAAATTGTGACTGACTAGTTCAGAAGATACATGCCATAGAACAGAGATACAAGTCACATAGGAACATGCTGAAGTGCAGCTGTGAAGCCCCAGGTGCTGATAAATTGTACACCACCTTCATGGTTTCTCATAAACCAATCATATTTAATGCAGTGAGATTAATATTTGTAACATCTGCTTCAGCAGCCCATCTGCACTGTATGTGACATGTACATACATCTAGGTTTGAATCCGGAGCTGAACATGCTATATTAGGGAATAGGATGCTAGGCTGTGTTACTCAAACTGCTCATGAATAACACTTCCCCTCTTAGTTGAGCATGTCTGCCATGTGTTATAAATATTACACTGGTTTTGGTATAACACCAGCAAATATCTATAAAGCTTCTCACAACAAACTCTAAAACCCTTTCAAGCAGTTTGATCACTTAAGTAGGGTGGATTGTTTGTTTTAAGAACCATGAAAAGTTGTCTGAGCTGTATGTGCCAGCCACTCTGCCCTTCCACCTCCTGTAACACAGACTTTGTATAAGGGCATTAGCAGCTTACTGGCAATTACTGTCTATAAGTGTGCTGGCACTAATGAGTTCAGAGACAGTAGGTTAAAAGCATTTCTTCGTAGTTTGTCAAAGACTAAATCAGAAAGGATTTCCTTTCCTCTCATTGTGTTAGGAAGTCTAGATCTGTAAATATTAGGGCTGCAGACTGCTCAGGTTTTGTCCCCAGCCACGTTACCAAGTGGCTTTGTTGTGTGCCATTTTTCATTTTGGATCACTGTGTTTTGATTTGCTATTTTTCTATTTTGTAAGGGATTTCCCACCTGCTCTGACACAGTTTCTGGGGAATCTTCCATGTGAGGGTCTCCAAGTACTTTAGAAAACGTTACTTAATTTTCCCTTGTGGGGACTTATAAAGCAATTTTTATCTCCATTTTGCAGCTGAATAAACAGAGAGATTAGGTCATTCATTTAAGGCAACGCGTTTAGAGAGTGACAACACTGGGAACAGAAATTCACAATCCTGCCTCCTGGCTTGGTGCTGAGCTTGTGCCTTGGGCTCACTGCAGCTGAAAGCAGAATACCCTTTACATTAAAGAATAGGGCACAGCACTTCATGCAGGATAACCTGGCAGCACCGTGAGGAAAAAACAGCTCACGTTAGGGCTGAACCCAAAGGTCACCAGTGTTCTGAAACGTTTCCCAGGGAGTGTAAATTGCACCTACAAGTGGCACAATCTGGCTGTATAACCCCCCCTTGCTTTCTGCCAGGGTGTGAAGCTGGTTATTACACCTTTCACCACTCCTGTTTTTGACATAACGGAAAGTGTTATACACCAGAAGCATGTTTGTGAGTTGTAAAGTCAGGGTTGGTGCAGCAGGGAGGGAATTCAAAGCACTCACAAGACTGTACTTGCCTAAAGTGGGAACTGCAATAAAATGAGATAGGATTGAAAGAATGAAGTGAATTAGCCAGATGATATGCAAACACCCCTTAATCTTGCAGTCCACCTGCTCTTTTATGCATGAAGTTCTACGGTTTCAGTTATTCTTGGAAACATAGTAACAGTTTATTGTTTTAATCACGTCTGTTTTTCCTGACTGATACACAGGAAAAGTGTTTCAATTAGATAAGCAGTGCATCACATAGCTGTGCGGTTGCTTTGGGTAGCTACATCACAGGCTATTATAATGTAACATTTACTTTGATTTTTGATAGGCTGTGTGATTGCAAGGTGGGAAAGTATAAATGCAGTGGAGAATCCCTAGGAAATAGATCTAACTTCTTCAGTACTTTCATATATATTAATGTAAGTATACCAAAGGCCCGTTGTGAAAGATGTTGTACATTACTAGTGGGTCAGAAGTTGGTTTACCGTTATGATCTTTGCTATGTTTGAATATTCTTTAAGGGTTTTGAGCAAATGCAAGAGTACAATCTACTTCAGGAAATTAATGGTTCAGGTAAATGTGTCCTCTGGGGTAATTACCTGAATTTGGGAATTGATGTCAGCTACAGTTTGACAGATTTAACACCTCAGACCTACGTAACGTTTTGTTATTATTTCTTTGTAACTACTGTGGTTTGGGTTTGTTTAACTGGAATTGAGTGCTTTCTGAGCAAGTCTGTCAATTCAAGAAACTGTGTCCACTAGAGAGGAAGCTGAAGAGCTCTCAGTAGTTGTTATGTCTGATGCAATTTTTTGTGACTGAGCTAAAAGACATTTCCTCTTAATTTTTCTGGTGGGTCTCAATGCTGTTTTCCCATTAAGGCAGATGCCATGTTAGTAACCAACTTCTCTTGTATTTTGAGTTCTACAGCAATTGCTTGTGCTTATCCCAGCTCATGAATCCATAGTGCAGATAATGCTCTGACCTTTCCCAAGCTCCAGGCCTTTGCAGTGTGCTGAGCATCTGCTGTTATTCCTTTTCTTCTTATTTTCCTGGTATGTTATCTCCTGTCACTATCATTTCAGTGTCTCCATCACACTATGGTAAAACTGTCCAGCCTATCTTCTGGGCTGCTTTCCTTATTCTGAGCACCAGGCCTAAAGAACTGTTATATTAAAGGTAGACAGAAACCAACTGTCAAATGTACATTTCAAATCCCAGAAGACCTGCGTGTGTTTAACTACGGTAGTAGGAAAAAGTAGGAAAAGCAGGATATTTGCAACATTCAAGTCTGGTCAGGTGTATTTTGATTGCAACCAAAGTAATGGTACTGTGCAGATAGAGAATGTCAGCCTCTTTATTTGGACACTAGATTCCCTCTGATATAACGAGAGGTTTAAGGAGGATGCTGGTCACTAGCACTGTCTCTGGAAGCAAAGACATGAAGCTGTGCTTGCATTGTTACTGAAAGGTTAGTTTAATTCAGGGAAAGGTTTAGTGTTTGGGAAGCTCACCCACATACTAATTTAAAACCTTTTCTTGAGCAATAGGCTGTTACTTTGGTATTTTAGATAAAATACCTAAAGCTTCAAGCCTCAGCTTTAACTCAAACCTTACATCCAAATGGCAATTCAGGGGAATGGTCTCAGTTGGTACCAGTAAGTTCTATAACACCTTAACCTAAAATGTCTTTCACACCTACCAGGTTGAACCAATTTCCTTAAAATGCTGCTTTCTCTGGTTGCTCTGTGGAAAGGCCATAGTATGTTGGAAGTCAGGAACATCCAGCCCAGTCCCAGAGCTGTTGCTTTTTGTTCAGAAAGAACTGAGACAGTCCAGAACTTCAGCCAAACAGGCAATTGTCTGAATCAACAGACTGCCAAGAATGATAAAATGACTGTGGCCCCACTGCCTACTTTGCCTGTGCTGGAGTCCCAACGGGCCAGGCTGGCAGCAGATGCTCTTCCTGAGGGGGGTCAGGATGTGTCAGATACTAAATTCAGTTGCATGGGTGGAGGCTCTTTTAGATGTATGATTTATTTCCACCACATCTTTCATCTTCCAAAGAGACAGCAGGGACAGGAGGTCCAAGCATCTCCATACTGGTTCTTTATGTCAGCTCCATCCCTTGCCTCACATTGATCTGAGTTCTTGGGGTAGCACATTTCTGTTCATACTGCTGAGAAGACTAGAGCCAACTCCAGTTCCCAGATTTCCTTACATTTTTTCAGAGCACTGCTTGTGGAAGACAATGTGTTAATACATCCTTAGTGAACTCTGCATTTGGTCTGTATCAGATCCAAAGCTCACAGAAGCCACTGATAGGCTTTGCACTGATCTTGATGTGGACTGAATTGAATTCATAGTGGCTTATTGCGATAACTACTACTAATCTCTCATTAGGAAAATGGAAATCTAGTGAACAAAATGCAGAGCCAGCCTCTATGCTGCTAAGTCTGGAAAAATGGATTGGTCACTTGCAAGCAACTGCAGTGGTGAGACAGGAAATTGTAAGAATCCTATTGCAACCAACAATGTACTATGGAAAAACAAATATATCCCAGTGGAAAGAGGCATGAGAAATCCCCATTGCATTCAGTGGTTTGGAACAAACTATTAGAAATCAGCTCTAGCGATCAGGAAATCTGCTCAAATACTTTCCTGCTGCTGAGCCTCAGGCTTAACACCCCTGTACTGAGCCAGAGTTTCCCACTGACAGCCTTTTCCAGCATGAAGAAAACTCACAGGGTCTGAGGATTCGTTATGTTACTCAAAACTCAGGCCTTATGAGCACATGCTAGCTGCGTGCAGTCTGGAGTCATACAAATAACTTGTTCCTTCTCCAAAATAAAAACTCTTTGGATCTTTAGGTTTCAAGACATATTCTAGACCAAAGCCTGGATCTGTGAGACATTGACTCCAGACCAAAATGCTTAAAATAGCCTCAGCCAAAAACTAGGCAAAGCCAGATGGTTCCAGTAAGGCACAAATATGCAGGGAGCTTCTGACCTTGCTTGAACCTCGAATGCAAAGCTGAATTGCATGCATGCCTCTGTGTAAGATCTGTTCCCAAGCTGCCTGCCAAGATTCTCTGTTACAAGCTACTGCTCCAGTAAAGGGCTTGGCAGAATGTAGTATGTGTCTGCAGTTCAGTTGATGATCTAGCATCTCACCTTTCACCAGTGCTGCAGCTGGGTTTGAGACGGACTGTGACTTGCAACTGGTTTTAGGCACATATTCTCTTCTCTATAACCTCCAGCTACAAGAAAGGGCAGAGCAGATGGGGATGACAGTGTCTTAAATCCCTGCCATGAATGTATTCTTTTGTAAGATATGTTCTTTGAATTTAAACTCCCACCAACTAAAAGCAAGAGTTTGAATGCATCAGAGATCCAAAAAACCACCTACCATTATTAGACTTGGGAATCTTTTAGAAATCACCAGTACAAAACCTTCAGCTCTGATTCCTTTCATGAAATCTGCAGCTTCTTGGTTGCCCTGCTGTGAAAGCTTGACCAGTTTTTCTTTATATGACTAGAATCCAGAATATCC